ATATTTAACCAGGATTTTACTCTCAGAAAATAAGCTAAATAATTAAAATGTGTTAGTGACATTTTTTAACATTTAGTTTTACACTTGGCGTCTCATACAAGTGATGCTGCTAACATTAAACAAAACAATCATCTTCTGTCAAATTTACTGAACAATGGCTTGAACAATGCCAAACCTTTTCTTTTTGCTCTGCTACTTCAGCTTTTCGCCAGGAAGAAACAGTCAGCTTCAATGGTTGGGACCCCAGCCTGAACTGCATTGAGCAAACCACAGAGTGGGGGGCATGCTCTCAGACGTGTGGCATGGGGGTCTCCACCAGGGTCACAAACAAGAACGATGGGTGTGAGATGGTGAAGCAGAGTCGGCTCTGTATTATTAGACCCTGCGACAACCAGCAGGAGCAGCTCACGCAGCTTGCACTAAGGGTATGTTTCCAGACCTTTGTATTTTTTTATATCTCTTTTGCTTTAACTCATTTTTTGGATACTAAAATGCCACCCCCTCCCTTGTAGCAGAGAGGCAGTAAGTGCCAGAGGATGGCGAGAAGTGACAACGCCATTCACTTCTCTTATAAGAACTGCACCAGCATCCAGGCCTACAAGCCTCGCTACTGTGGCTCCTGCACGGACGGCCGCTGCTGTACCCCCMACAGAACCAAAACCAGCCTGGTGGAGTTCCAGTGCACCAACGGTAAAACCACTCGGAAGCCAGTCATGGCSATCCTGACCTGTGCCTGCCACAGCCACTGCCCCCGAGACAACGCCGTGTGGGAGCCATCTGAGCTGGCGTCCGGTGCCGTGAGGGTATGAGGAGTGTAGACAATGGTCCTGTCCCAATACCCGCACTCCCACCCTCGTTCCACCCTTGTGCACTTCAAATTCGCGTTCATGTTGAAGCGTTTGAGTGCGTAGTGTGTCCCACATTCTCCACATCCGCCCTTCTCCCCGCCCATTTTGGGTACCATTTCTGCCCTTCCGCAAAGTCTACATTTTTACGGACTTCGGTGAAGTGTATTACCCACAATTCATTGCTGCCAAAAGAGCGGCCATTTTTTTAAAATAAATAAAACTTTATTGAACATTCGAACATGGCACAAAAAATAACAAAGCTGCCGGGGG